TTCTTAAAAAGATTTTTTCTTTTTTTTAAAGTAATCTCTACACCCAATGTGGGGCTCAAATCTACAACCCTGAGATCAAGAGTCACAAACTCCACCAACTAAGCCAGGCAGGTTCCCCTCGGAAACATTTTAAATAGCTGCATAGTTTTCATCACAGCCGATCATTCTTCTATTATTAGACATTTTTTATTTTATTTTTATTTATTTTTGAGAGAGAGACAACACGAGCAGGGGAGGGGCAGAGGTGGGGGGATAGAGGATCCAAAGCTGACTCTATGCTGACTGCAGGAAGCTCGATATGGGGCTCGAACTCACGAACCCTGAGATCATGACCTGAGCCGAAGTCGGACACTTAACTGACTGAGCCACCCAGGTGCCCCTAGACATTTGGGTTTTTAGAAAACTTTTTAGCAACCAAAGTATAGAAGAGTATCTACAGCATGCTATACTTGAATAAGAAGGGAAGGGTGGCGGGCACCTGGGTGGCTCAGTTGGTTGAGTGTCTGACTTTGGCTCAGGTCATGATCTCCCAGTTGGTGAGTTTGAGCCCCACATCGGGCTTGCTGCTGTCAGTGTAGAGCCTGCTTTGGATCCTCTGTCTCCCTCTCTCTGCCCCTCCCTTGCTTGCACTCTCTCTCTCAAAAATAAATAAAAACATCTAAAAAAAGGAAGGGAAATTAGACATAACACATTACATGTATCAGCTCATTTGTGTAAAAATAAATGTAGGATAAATAGCTAGAAACGAATGAGATCAGTGAATACAGAGGGGGCCGAGAACTGGCAGGAGAGGATGGAGGGGTGGGAGAAGGGTGGAGTGAGGTGCTCAAGGTATACTTTCTGCAGAGCCCTGACTTTTGGGGCCATGCTAATGGGTCACACTTTCAAAAGAAATGAAATAGATATAATCAATAAGGGTGGTGGGGAAAGACTCCTACAATTAATAAGCAGGACTATATTTCAAATGAATAGCATAACTACACCAAGGGAGGAGGGAAAAGCACTAACCCAAGTAATTTTAGAATACAGTATTTTGACCATATGCCTTTAGGCTAAAGACAGAACTGTAGACTGATGCTGAAGTCTCATTAGTAGGTTTGTTTTTTCATGGTGGTATGGGGTAGCAATTCTGAAACCATTTTCTGTGTACTCTAGGATTGAGCAAATAGATATACCTATATCTATATATCTGTATCTATATACCTATATCGATATATCTGTATCTATATATCTATATCGATCTATCTATATATCTATACCTACATATCTATATCTATATCTATATATCTGTATAGATATATCTATACCTATATATACCTACATATCTATATAGATATATTGTGGAGTTGCCTTTCTCACTGTTAGAAAAGAGGAAACATGGGAGATGTTTGGAAATGGAAAAGAAAGAGAATTGAATAATGAACCCAGTGGTCCTGGATTAGAATAGGAAGTATCAATAGGAGCTCATTGCTTTTTTAAAATTTTTTTTTTTTCTCAACGTTTTTATTTATTTATTTTTGGGACAGAGAGAGACAGAGCATGAACGGGGGAGGGGCAGAGAGAGAGGGAGACACAGAATCGGAAACAGGCTCCAGGCTCCGAGCCACCAGCCCAGAGCCTGACGCGGGGCTCGAACTCACGGACCGCGAGATCGTGACCTGGCTGAAGTCGGACGCTTAACCGACTGCGCCACCCAGGCGCCCCAGGAGCTCATTGCTTTTAATACAGATTGATATATAAATAGCTACAGATGTTGGGGGTGTGTAAATATATATAAGTCCCAGGTCAGTAGCAATGAACGTGTAGTGCTCAGGTCATAGTTTCTAAATACTGCTCTCCACTAGAAGGAATGAGCCTCCTTAAGTAAATGATTGGTTCCAGGGCAGAGTCAGGAAAATAAAAGATAAACACGGAACATCTTGTTTTGCCAGAAATTAAAGAAAGTGCTCAAGGCACAATGGAAATGTGTCAGAAGGACCAGCAGCCAATTTGGAGGGGTGCCCAGTGGCCATCAAAGTAACTTGAGCATCAAGATAAGTGACTACAACAATATATAACCCCCTGAGTAAAATAAGAACCTCTGAGTCCATACTGATATAAACAAACATGTAAGTAAAAGAAGAAAAGGAAATGCTTTCTTAGAGAAGAATGCCAACAATTAATGTAGAACATATGATGGAATCAGAAAATCTCTATTTGGTGGCCATCACAGCAATAGCAGATTCCATAATAATGGATTTGGTCAGGAATTATCAATGGAAACTTAACATATGTGCAAGTTTGATGAGTGACTGGATACTGACATGGTGTCAAAGTATCTCCTAGAAGAAACTTATTAAGAAGCATCGGACACCATCTTAAGCAAGCGTTCAAAGTTTACACCACCGGGAATGGGACAAATCCACATGATGATGATGTATCATTTCTGCGGCAGTCCTATCAAAAATGTATGACCTGGATCTAATCATGAGGAAACGGCAGAGAAATGTGAATTGAGGGACATTCTACATAAAAATTGGTTTGTACTCTTCAAAAATATCAGGGTCCTAAAGGACCAAAAAAGATGGAGGAAATGTTCCAGATTTAAAGACATTATGACACAATTAGACAGTGACCCTGGGCCATAAAAACAAAACAATACAAGTTTTCCCCCTTTCGTTGTAATGGGCATTCTTGGGAAAATCAACTAAATCTGGATAAGGTCTGTAGATTAGGTAAAAATGCTGTACTAATGCTAATTTCCTGGTTTTGATAACTGTACTACCTATGGTTATGTGGGAAAATGTTTCCATTTTTTTCTTTCTTTTTTCTAAAATATTTATTTTTGAGAGAGAGTGTGTGAGTGGGGGAGGAGCAGAGAGCGAGGCAGACACAGAATCTGAAGCAGGCTCCAGGCTCTGAGCTGTCAGCATAGAGCCCGATGCAGGGCTCAAACTCACCAACTGTGAGATCATGACCTGAGCTGAAGTCGGACGCTTAACCGACTGAGCCACCCAGGCGTCCCAAATGTTTCCGTTTTTAGACTGAAGTCCAAAGTATTTAGGGCTAAAGAGGCATCGTGCCTACAATTTACTCTCAAAATTGTGTGTGTGTGTGTGTGTGTGTGTGTATGGGGGGGGGGGCAAGGGGAGAGAGAGAGGAGGATAAAACAAATGTAGTAAAAAGTTAACATTTGGGGAATCTTGGTGAAGGGTATATGACAATTCTTTATACTCTTCTTGCAACTTTGACTTTTCTAGAAGTCTGACATTATTTCCAAACACACCCACACACAACCTCTGACACTGAAAGTAATACACTGAATGTCCTTGATCATAAATAATCTTTGTTTCCCTAGGACTCTTAGTGGAATGACTAAGTCAAAGGTATACAGTTTGAAAACTATCGATGTACCCAGCACGGAGAGGTTTTTGAGTACATCTAAATATGGAGGAGGGGCGCCTGGGTGGCTCAGTCGGTTAAGCGTCCGACGTCGGCTCAGGTCTGATCTCACTGTTCGTGAGTTTGAGCCCCACATCAGACACTGTGTTGATAGCTTGGTGTGGAGCCTGCTTCGGATTCTGTGTTCCCCTCTCTCTCTGACTCTCTCCTGCTCATGCTCTGTGTCTCTCTCTCTCTGTAACATAAATAAACATTAATAAATAAATAAATAAACATGGAGGAGCAAGGCAGTGGAAATGGAGGACGAAACAGGGTCGACCACAGAGGTGAAGGCGGGGTGTGGAGCTGGAACTACGGACAGTGTTCAGGATGAGCGTGAATTAGAAGCTAGAGGAGGAATTCAAGGATCCACAGATAGGGGTTCAGGACCAAAGCTGATGACATTTGAGACGATTTTTAGAAACATATCCTTCTGTGGGTTTACCAACTGCCCACAGTAATTTTGGATCCCTCCCTCTGTATACATCCCTCCCGCGCAGGGCAGTTACCCACTGGTGAATCGTACTGAGTCCCTGAGCCTTTCTGACTGACACCCAAGAAGCAGTCACAACGTCTCCACCCAGTCCATAGTTACATGACCTAGCGGCTTACTATATGATGTAAGTAAATAATCTACCATAAGCTTTCATTTTAAATGCCTGTCATACGTTTCATCAAGTATATGTATTAATTGGCTCTCATCGAGTATTTGCTATTTGCTGTTAGGGACTACGTTAAGTGCTTTGTGTGGATTATCTCATTTAATCCCCCCAATAACCCCATGGGAATATATGTCCATTTCGCTGATGAAGAAAAGTAAGTCTAGAGAGGTAAGTTAAAGTAAGACTTGCTCTATGTCATAAAGCTTAGATTCAAATCCATAAGACTGACTCTAGAGCCCCACTCCAAACCACAATGCTATGATGGATGAAAAATATTAATTAAGGGGGTGTCTGGGTGGCTCAGTCAGTTGAGTGTTCGACTCTTGATTTCGGCTCAGGTCATGCTCCCAGGGTCGTGAGATCGAGCCCTGCGTCGGGCTCCTTGCTGAGTGTGGAGCCTGCTTAAGATTCTCTCTCTCCCTCTGTGCCTCCCCTCCCCCCTGCTCGCACACACACACTCTCTCTCTCTCTCAACTAAAAAAATAAAATAAAAAGTAAAAAACAAATCTTTTTAATTAGGAAGAAAAAAAGGCAATCAATCACAAGTTGAAAATTGTTAATGAAAAAAAGAATCGTTAGTGAGGGGCGCCTGGGTGGCTCAGTCGGTTAAGCTCAGCTCAGGTCATGATCTCACGCACAGTTTGTGAGTTCGAGCCTCACATTGGGTCCCTCGCTGATAGCGTGAAGCCTGCTTGGGATTCTGTCTCTCCTTCTCATTGCCCCTCTCCTGCTCTCTCTCTCTCAAAATAAATACATAAACTTAAGAAAAAAAAAAAA